TTTTTTTTTTTTTTTTTTTTTTTTTTTTTTTGCGGGGGGTCTTGGCTATTGCAACAGTGTGTATTTACTCACGTGGAACTTCAAGAGCTAGGTTGGTGTTCATTGATGTCTGAATCTAAGGTTTCTGCTCACTGTTTGCTTGATATGGTTCCCATAGCCTGTTTCTCTTTCATTTTGAGAAGCTAGTGTATCTGGTATGGTGGGTTTGTATTACTCCCTATTGTAGGGATTCTGGCTTCTTCTAATTGTGGCACAGTAATAAAAAGTTACAAATCTTTCACTTTCATATTTTGAGTAAGACGGTGTGAGGCTGTGACCCTTAGTTGAAATTTGGAAGCTCTCTTTAGATGTTTAAAGAGATTGGCTGAGGTATGTGTGTGCATGCGTGTGTGTGTATATGTATGTTAAATCAGCAAAGAGGATCTAATTGCTCTTCTCCATCTTATGTTAGGTTAAATTTTTATTTTTGCCAAAAGTGAGCTCTAGTCCACTGTTTACCTATCTTTTTGAACTTTCTAATCCTGAACCCACAAACTGGTTCTACCAACAGGTAGAGCATGACCCATGTATGACTCAGCAAAGTGGATTTTGTTTCTACAGAGAATGCAACAATATGGAAATCCAAGTGGACATCGAAGCCAAACCAAGCCACTATCAGCTGGTGAGTGGAAGCAGCACGGAGGACTCACTCCATGTTCATGCTCAGATGGCAGAGAATGAAGAAGAAGGTAGTGGTGGTGGAGGAGGCAGTGAAGAGGATCCCCCCTGCAAACACCAAAGCTGTGAACAGAAAGACTGCCTGGCCAGCAAACCTTGGGACATCAGCCTGGCCCAGCCCGAGAGCATTCGCAGTGACCTAGAAAGCTCTGATACGCAGTCAGACGATGTGCCAGACATCACCTCAGATGAATGTGGCTCCCCCCGATCTCATACTGCAGCTTGCCCCTCGACCCCCAGAACCCAAGGTGCACCGAGCCCAAGTGCCCATATGAACCTCTGTGCCCCAGCTGAGGGACAGACTGTCTTGAAGCCAGAAGGTGCAGAAGCTAGAGTATGAAGTGGAATGAATGCTCCTGTTTTGAGAAGCACACTTGTTGTAACTGCATCTTTTGAAATCTTTTTGGGAGAAGGTGGGGATTTATGCATTTTATTTCAAAGAGTCTCTGGTCACAGGCTTTCCCCAGGGCAGTTCTGAGGAATTTGCAATTTCTTACCAGATAAAACATGAAAGTTTAGGCCTTAGTCCGCTTTCCCTTGCCACCCCCTCCCCCCACTTTTTTTAGTTTTAATTTATTGGTTAAACTGATGATGGCGGTCCATGAGGTGTGTCAAAGAGTGTATATATATGTATGTGTGTATATTGTATGTCTGCTAACATATTACTGAAGGACACATTTTAATAAAGATTTCTGTTGTAATTGAACTTAACCTCATTTTCCTTGGCTTAGGTAGTCCTACAGAGCCAAGTGTATGAAATAGAACACTATATCTTTGACAGTCTCTAAACGTGAGTTTCTCTAATCCCAGGGAAGAAACGTGAGTTTCTCTAATCCCAGGTTGTGTTCAGATCCGACTGCAGCGTGGTCATCTATAAACCAATGACTCATAGCATGACAGGAAGCAAAGCTAGGCTTGTTTCGGACTGTGTAGTCAGCTTGAAGAATTACTAGCTGAGTCAGCTGGATAGGGAAGCAGCAGATTAAAACAAACCTTGTCTGCCCTCTAGAGGGCAACTGTGCAGTTTTCCTGTTAAAGCTTTATTTACCCTTTTCTTGATGATAGTTACTATTAGTTATGTGCTTCAGAGGAGGGAAGGGATGGCAGTCAGTCCCAGGTAGCTCTTGAGAGGTCTCAGTGAATGTTGCAGGGTTACAAGTTGGGGACGCAGTATCCTTATTAGAGGAAGAAGTGTACTGATTTTGCATAATCACCAAGCAATAACCTAGGTGTTTGCTATGTTCTCAGGTACACCCTATCCCAAAAAGATTTCTGAGTTTTGCCAATCTAGTTTTAAGTAAGAAGGAATAAGGAATCAGATTTGTAATGAGACCTGCTGTCAAAATCTTTGAATATATTTAATTTTATCTGACCTTACAAATTCATCAGAATTGAGCTAAGTTCGTGCTATCTGGAATTTTGGCTCTGTCTAGAATAATGTCCTTAGAAATGAAAGCTCATACACAGTATAGCAGGAAAATTAAAAGACTTATGATGTAATATTCCAAATCTAGCAGTAACTTGCTTTATGACTGTGTGAGTCACTCTCATGCTCCTGATTTCCCCAGCTCTCAGACCATATTTAAGGAGCTTTCATTGCCAAACTTATCTATCATCTTAGTCCTGGGCCCAGAGGAAGAATTGAAAACATCCTTTCCCTGAAGACCAGATGGCTTTCTGTTTCCTTCCACAGGTGCACCTGCTCTTTGTCTCATTGGCCTGCGTTTTACTACAATAAGAATGACGGGTCTCAACAACAGCTAACCTGGAAGATTCTTATCCCTTGGGCACTGCAGCCAGACTTAGCGTATTTCTCTGCACCTGGGACAGGAAATGCTGTTAGCGGACTTTGGATCTCTGAAAGAAAGTGCCCTAGAGGGCGTCCTTGTGTGAAAAAGGGAACCTGTTGGAAAAAGGGGCAGACAGCCTGGAAATCTCTGAAATGCAAATTATAAATTCGAAACGTAATTCTCTTGAAACCTTATCAAGAGAGCAATTAATTTGGATGAAATTAAATCCGTTGGAGGGGCAATAGTTTACAAGCCAAACCAGTATTCCTTATCTGGGTTCCACTTATTGCTATGAGACTTGGGCAGCTTATTTTCTGAGTCTGTTTTCGCTTGGCCAGAATGGGAATAATAACCCTAATTATGAAGCTGTAAAGATTAAGTGAGATGGTATACTGAGAATGCTTTTGGTAAATACCCATGTATTTTCCTTACGCAGGAATAAGAAGAAACAAGTTAAAGGAGATTCTGGGTATCATCTAAGAAAGGAAGCCCAGAATTCTAGACCACAGACTGAAAAACTTGTTTATTCTAATCCTTTGCAATGCTACTTCTCAGACATCAGCAGATGAAAAAGCCCATCAGCACCACCCAGAGGAGAATGTGACTAGTGCATTGGAAAAGTTCTCAGATTAGAAAATGGGGAGTTTAATTTCCTCAGCATACTGCCTTCATTCATTCTGAAATACCTACTACTTTTCAGGTATGGGATGTAGGAAATGAGAAAAACACAAAATTGCTGTCCCCACGGAACTCTAGTGGGGGTAGACAATCATATATAGTCATGATAACAAGTATGCAGAAGAAAAAACAGAAAGGGAAAGGAGTAAAGTAGTATCTAAAGTAGCACCATCTACCACATATGGGCAGTTTAGGCCTCCTTGATAAGGGTATATTTTATTAGAGACCTGAACGGAACGAGGCAGAGCATACCAGACATGAGGAATAAAATGAGAAAGTCCTTTGATGGAGCATCCTTGGTCTGTTTCCAAAGGGGGGAAAAAAATAGTATAGAGGCACATATGGCTGCAACAAAGTGGGCCAAGGTGGAGAGAGTAGGTCACAGGTGACTGGGGGCAAGATTGTGTAGATGAGCAACACAACTCTGAAGACAAAGAATTTTTAGATTTCTCTTAGGCCAGGAAGAGAGGTGGTCTTCAAAGCCAGACAGATGGAATGCTTGCAGTCAACTTTCAAAGGGCAAAAACTGGAAAAGGGTGTGTCTGGTCATTGATCCTACTTGGATAGGTCAATGGAAAGAACCTTGTGGGTATGGTAAATGGTACTCAGCATTTATTCTGACCTTCTAATATACCTTCTGTACTATAGAGACTGGCAAGCTAAAAACTTCATGTGTTAGACTTCCTTGAAACCATGGCTCTAAATGTAACTTAAGGTTGTTGAGTTTTGCCAATTAGATGCACAAACAAGTTGTGGAAGGAGGAAGTTATCAGGTTATCTTTGGCTACTTTGGCTATTGCTCCTAAAAGGATGTAGAGACCTTAGGTTTCTCTTCAGCGGTATTCCAGTGTCCATCAAGAGCTTTGTGGGTGTTGAATGGGTATCCTGATCCATAGATACCAGTTTGTGATATGTGTTCTTGTAGTCAACCTGTGGTGGCCTCCTGATTCTTCATTTCCTTGATGATGGCAGAGGTAGCAGCTACCACAATAGGCCAATTCTGGGAATGTCCCTCCTGCCTAGGCTCTCAAGCTCTTTTAAGCATATAACTTACCATATTGAATCCTCTTCTACTTAAAATTGGAAGAGGAGTTTTGTTTCCCACAAATACTGAATCCTGACTGATACAGTACCTGGTTCCAAAAGTGGTTACAAGCAAGAGGTCCTCATAGATAGGACTCTTTTTTTAAAAAAAGATGACCGGTCAGGGGATCTTAACCCTTGGCTTGGTGTTGTCAGCACCACGCTCAAACGGTGAGCTAACCGGCCATCCCTATATAGGATCCGAACCCGTGGCCTTGGTATTATCAGCACCTCACTCTCCCGAGTGAGCCATGGGCCGGCCCGGACTCTTTAATTATGACTAAGTTGGATTTGAAAGAATGAAGATCTAGTTGCCATTGGAAAATGTTAAACTGGCAGGCAAAGTTTACACCTGTGGTCACCTGGAATGAAATGTCTTGGAGAAAAGACTGACAGATCAAGTGGCTGCCATGACAGGCCATCATGTAAGAAATGAAGACTTATATGGTGGTGACTACACTAGAGAGGTTACAGACAGAAAATGAAGAGCTCAAGAGTTTTAAATTTTCAGCTCAAGGCATGTACTGGAGAGCCCCAAACGAACTGTATCTCTTGTAGCTGCAAGCCTGATGTACGTGAAATCAGATAGAGATTCTGGGTCATTGAATTACAATGTAAGTTGAATTCATAGTTTTACCAGGTCTCTTATGTGAAAGTTAGCGCATTCTTTGGGAAAGAATGGGACTCTGAAATGAGAAATGGGATATTTGAGTGAATTTGAATAAATTCTAGTGCTCTAAACCCACAGAACTACTTAGCTTCTCAACCAGCAGAATCAGCCCTTCTTCCTCTCACTAATGTGGCTGGTTCTGTTGCTTAGAGACCCTGGGGTAGTTGCCTTGAAAGAAAATGCTAAGACTTCTCATGTCCCACCCACTACCCCTCCTTGCTACCAGATCTGTAACTGGAGTCAGATCTTAGCATTCTTCTGGAAGGTAAACACAAAGTCTGATCTGAGAGGAAAAGAAAGAGAATTGTAAGATTGTGCTAATTTGTATCAGCAGAAACCTGGGGAATGTGTGTGGACTGGACTCTAAAGGTGTTAGACTAGGAAGGAAGGAACATAAATTTATTTTCATTTAGGTTGAATTTATCAATATGGGCATACTGGAGATTCTGGATTCAGTATATTGGCTTTAGCAGCTAAGAATGGCTCTTAGCTGGTTGGTTGTATGAAACCTCGGCTTAAAAATGGCCTATACTCAATGAAATTGAGATGCCAGAAATTACTTACTATAGCATTTGAAATAGAACCAAAAACATGATAGAAATGTTGGTTGTAGATTCATCCTATGTGTGACTTACTTATCTCCTAAGTTTTGCCCTTAAAAATTGCTCAGAGGTTATTTCTTTCACCAAGGAATTGGAAAGTACATAAATAAGAGAAACACCTTATCTTGAAAAGTGCTGTAGTGCATATCCTCCCTAGGCTGAAAATGAAGCTAGGAGTACTGCCATTGCAATGGAATCCCTGATACTGGCGGGGATGACGGGATCCTGGAGTGATGGGCCAATGGGCAGTACCAAATCAACAGAGCTGGAGTGATGAAATATATAGGTTACCTACTAAGATCCCACTTGGTTTCTACAACACAAAACAAAACTTCCAGTCTGGCAAATAGAGGCCTGTTTTGAGCCACCAAAATGGAGAGTTATGGATACTCAATTCTTAGAGCTGAGGGCCTTGAATAAAGGGATGCTGAATACCTGGAGTAAGCAACCTGCAATACCACAACTGTATGTAAATCTAGTTTTTCTCAAGGGGATCCTAAGCTATTTATATGTGTTCCTGTGCCTAAGGGAAATGGAAACAGACAGGCCTTTAGGGGTTACTTGGAGACTGGCCCTAAGTCAACACAAATCCCAAGGGACCTAAAAGGTTTTTGTGGTCCACTAGTTAGAACAGAGGCTTTTGGGGTGTTATGGATTGAATTGTGTCCCCCCAAAATCATATGTTGAAGCCCTAACCTCCAGTACCTCATAACGTGATCTTATTTGGAAATAGCGCTGTTGTAAATATAATTAAGATGAAGAGTATAGGGTGGCCCCCTAATCCAATATGATTGTTGTCCATATAAAAAGGAAATTTGAAAATAGAGACATGCAAATAAATAGGTTGGACACCATGTGAAGATGAAGGCAGAGATTGGGGTGA